TTTTTAAATGGCTTAAAGTTTTCATTTTGTCTGTGTATTTTCTAAGAACAGAAAATTATTGAAAGTTGGGAGAATTAGGAAAAACACATAGATACTTCATTGATTTTTCTTCCATGGTTCGTATTACAAGGAACAATAAAACACAACAAAACAAAACACCATACTAATACCTGTTTTGCTACCATGCAGTAGACTGGAGGTGGGATTACCACGATGTTAAATTTGAATGTGTACAGCTAGATCCAGGTTAGTTCTATAACAAAAAGTGAAGTGAAAAATAGTGGTTATTACTTGGGTAATTGATTCGCCTAAATTCTCTTCTTCATCACTCCTGTTACCACCATCAAATAAGACTACAAACGAAAGAAAGCAGAATCATTGCTTGGAGTACCCTAGAAACATAGTGACTTGAGTTTATATTCAAGCATGGGTTAGTATTAGCTGTTTAGCCATGTTCAACAGCAGAAGGCAATGAACTGAACCTCTTTAAATTTCAGTTTTCTCATTTGTAAATGGGTAACATAATTTTTAGGGCTATTGTGAAGATTTACTCATTCATTAAATCATTTATTCACTCACATACACGTACTTATTGAGCACCTATTATGTGCCAGTCATTGTGTTAGCTAAATGATAAGGGTCCAGGCGTGAATACCAACATGTTCTCAATCTCTTTGAAACTTTCATGGAAATGAAATACGGTTTTTGGAAAGAAAAGTAGATTACATTCGTCAACTGTTTACATAATGTATAATACTTAGTTCATAGTACATGGTCAGTAAATCTGAGTTATTATTATTATTATTATATTGCTATTTACAGTTAACTCACCATTGTCAGCCTGGTTCATAGTTGCACAGATAAAATTAAGAAATATATCCCTGACTATCAACTTAGAGCTCAGATCACAGCCTTACACGTCCCTCCTTCTGTTTAGCTGATACAGCAAATCATACCATGCATGTTTTTCTCTCGCCACACCTCTCTTATTTCTTTCCTTTCTTCTTCCCTCCTTCATTTCTTTCTTTCTAATTTCTCTCTTTTTTGTAGTATAAAAAGTGTTTGTTTAAAATTGACTTTATTCATGTGTGTTTAGGGTAGGGGAGGATAAGAGTAAGAATAAAGTGGAAACTGTGGAGCAGTGCCGTGTAAGCGGACTATCTCAATGCCAAGCATCTGAGTGACAATGGGAGCTGTCACAGCGAGAGCTCTAGTGATTCAGAAAAGTAAGCAGTCCTTGTCAGACTCAGATAAAACTAATGCTATATTTTTTTTCAGATTAAAATGGCTGATACACATTTAAAAGAAAAATCCTTAATGTGAGTTGGATTTTCAAAAACAGCAAGAAACATTTCAAGCAAAGTCTCAGTGATCTGATTGGCTGATATACTGTGGTCTTTATATTCTAGAAATAGAAGTAAACCACAACAAAAAAGACAAATTGTGTCTGCATGACAGACTGACAGAAAGGATCTCCAAAAGGTTTTGAACTGTATCTTCTTTAAGAAGAGTTTTTAAGTGTCATAAGTGGTATGTTTAGTTTTAAAAGCAACTTCATGATTTTATAATTATACTTCAATGAACATTGTTTTAGAGGTCTTAGTACAGTATATTAAGAACAAGAAATTGAAGGCCTTAATCATTGGAAAGGAGGAGATAAAACCATAATTCTTTGCATGTAGTATTAACCACACAGAAAACCTGGAAGAGTACACGAAGAAATTTTTTAAATAATAGGAGAATTCAGCAAGTTTCCTGAATACAGGGTGGACCAAAATACAAAACTCAACTGAATGCTTGTACCAGCAGAAAGCAACAATGAAAATGTAATTTTAAAAAGAAACAAATATAAAATTGAGTTACCCAGGAATAAAACTACCAAAAGATGTGCAAGATGCATTTGCAAAGTATTAAAAAAGTTTACTGAAGAGCATTAAAGAAGGCCAAATAAATGTGGAGCTAGCCCATGCTCATGAATAAGACTGAATAATATTGAAGAGATATTAATGCTACCCACTCAAAATCCAACATAATTTTTATGGGCCTTGTAAAGGTAATAAAGATCTTTGAAGAAAAGGGAAGAAGCAGCAGAAGCAGAAGATGGGGGAGGGGGAGGGGGAGGGGGGAGACGACTTAATCCATTAAATATCAGCAGTCATTACGAAGCTATGGTAACAAAGGCGATGTGGTCTTTGTGTAGCATTGAGCAAGTCAGTGGCTGGAATTACTTGAGCTTAGAGAAATATATAGACTTTGATACATGACATATCTGAATTGGGAAAAGGAAAGTCTACTCAATAAATGGAGCTGGGAAAAGATGGTTAATATGAAAACATTAAATTACTTCACACCAAACAAAATTGCAGGTGGATTAAAAACTTACATATTAAAAGTAAAATTGAAAAAGTTACAGTTGAAAATATAGATGACAATTTTCCTGACTTTGAAGTAGGGAAGGATTTTTTTAAAAAGTTACAAAATATAAATGATTGATCAATTTAAGCTATATGAAAGAACTTTTGTATATCAAAAATTCACCTGAAAGGAAAAGAAAAGGTAAGCTAGCCGCTGGGACAATATACTTGCTACATATACAATAACTGATAAAAGGTTATTATTAAGTGTATAAAAATAACTTGTATAAATCAACAAGAGAAGGAAAATGTAAATCAAAAAGAAAAGAAATGACAGGATTTCACAAAAGGGAAACAATTAAGAATAATAAACACAGGAATAAGTGTTCTACCTCACTGGCAATCAGGAAAATGCAAATCAAGACTACAATAAAATACTACTTTTCACTCAAATTATCAAGAATTTAACCTTATTAATACCATGTGTTGTACACAGGTCAACAGAATTTCTGCATATATAAATTAGTATGGCCATTTTGGAATAAAATTTGTTTTGTGTCATGGAGTTGAATATTCATATTCTTTTTGACTCCTTAATTAATTTCTCATGTATATTTCCAAGAAAATCTCTTGAGTATATGCATCAGGAAACTTGCACAAGAATATTAAAAATAGCACTGTTCATAATAGCAAACTAGATATAATTCAAATATCCATTTATAGAAACGATTATTATATAGCAGTGAATATGAATGAAATACAGCTACATATCGTAGAAAATAGAGCAGAAAAATAAGAGCAAAACAAAGTCTAAAGAACAACAAATTGCATGATACCCATTTTATAAATAATTTGAAAAACAGTTAAACCCAACAATATTTTTAATTTGATTATGGAAATATACACGATAAAACTATTAGAAGAATACAAAAACTGATAAACACAAACTTCAGTGTAGCAGCTACCTGAGGTGATGGGCAGAAAGCAAAATATCGGGGTATGTAAAGTATTGTCAAGCTTGTTCAGTTATGGGTATTCATTATGTTACAAACAAATAAGATAAGTGGCATAATTAATTGTGATTAAGCCCAATTCTGCACACCTGGGTTTCATTAAAAAGTGTGAACACTCATGCTAGTGATATATCCTTTTCCTCCAGCTTGAGGTACAAAATAAGATTCTATCTCTTTGTTTGATTTAAATCAATTACCCATTTTCCATTTCTCTTTGGATCCTTTGGTATATTCTCTTAGGACTAAAACCAAAGATTCAGTTCTTCCAAGCTGCCACAAGGTGTCACTGTTGAAAATAGACGACCACCCAGTCCAGTGATACCATTCCATCTGCAAGGAGGTAGAGATAGAGAGATGGGGCTATCAGGGGAGGCTACGGTCTCCGAGGGCTTAGAAAGAAGAGTGTGCTGGTGCTCGTTACACTTACAGTCACCGAAGAGCCCTTACCATCGAATCTTTCCCTTGGAATTAAAGAGGCTGGTCCTGAAGAGTTTTCAAGGCTCACCCATACATTGTCTCTAGGCTTTGGTTTTGACTTTATAACCCATCAGTGTTTCATCTGCCCTCCCTCATGGTCAGTCCTGCTCAGGAAAGCCCTTGTGTCCTTTCTTGCCAGCTTACATATTAAACTGGTATATTAAGCCAGTATATATTAAGATGGTGTATTTCAGGTTATTAGATATATTGTATTTTTTTTTTCTTTTGCAGGGGGAAGGTAATTAGGTTTATTTATTTATTTGGCTTTTCATTGGAGGTACTGGGGATTGAACCCAGGACCTCATGCATGCTAAGCATACACTCTACCACCTGAGCTATACCCTCCCCCTAGTTTCTAAAAAAATTTTTCTCAGGTTATTATATATATTGTAATCACAGTGAACCTTAGAAGGGAAAAGGACCAGACTCATTCTTTTTGCTCTGTGAAGACTCTTCAGCTCGTTAAAAATAACAATTGAAGTTCTAACATTTCCCTGCTACTTGTCTCTCATCTACATAATTAAGTTAAATTAAAGAATGCTTAAGTAATTCCGTACAGAACCAAGAAGATTTATCCAAGATGACTTACTGTCTTCCCCAGAAGGCAGAGAAGTTGCTGGTAAACTTGGAGTAGTAATGCCTTCTGCTATTAAAAGAAAGTTCTACCTTCCTGGCAAGTAGTTGTGGTAATACTTGTAAAGTTCTCTTTAAACACACTTTTATAACATTTTCTAAAAAGAATGCAAACAAAAAAGTAGGTCCTTCAACATGTGAGTAGATTTAAGCCAGTAGCAGCTGAGATTTTGGCATCATTACGTGAGTTCCTTAAAGAGACAGCAATTATGCCCCATTCCCCCAGATCTAAGAGATTTGATGAGGTTTATTCTTTTAGTCACATTTAAACAAAAGAGAAAAGACAAAAACGATAGGTCGTAAGACCTCTTCTCAGTGACTGGAATGGGAGACAATGTGTGGACTGTGACAGTCAGATTGTCTTAAAGAGAACGAAGGCACAAAAACATTTTCCTCCTTGGCCCCCTGATCTCATCCATGTATAACTGGATCAGGTGACTCAGGGCCACCTGTCACTCAGTGGTTTAGATTTGCTTTTACAGTAGCTTTATATTAGTGGACTTAGAGACTTCAGTGCTGGAGGTGATGAAAACTTAGGAATGCAGATTCCTGAGAGGATGGAGGAGTGTTTGAGGCTCACTTAACTGTTAAACTTTGAAGAGGCAAGGTTTTGTTTTTGCTTCTTCTTCTTTTTTTTAATTTTTCAGACCCGATTCCCTTGAGGGTGATTGTTAAGTTATGGAACAGCGCAATGCACATAGCTCAGGTCTTCTAGTTCCATAAAAGCATTCCCACTAGTTAGAAAAGAACCAAAGAAATTAAGTTCCTCCAGCAAGGAGTTTATGTAACCATGTCATCTTCTGCAGTGCAACAGGTATGTGGACAGGGGTTAAGGGGTAGAGAGCTCTGCTTTCTCTTCCTTGAGGTTTTCTTAAGAAGCAAACTGTCACCCTAATAACGCAGCAGCACTGTGGGTGGATGGGTCTTCTTTTTGGCGTTTTGGTTCTGTGCAGAGAGAGACGTAGGAATGCGGAAGATCGTAGGTGCAGGACTTCGTAGGAATTTGCAATAAAAGGCAGAGCTTTTAAAATATGTGAGCAGGATAACATGCTTCCTTTTGGCAGTGCAGCATGTTTCCTGGGAAGAAGATTTAAAATCATGGAAGGGGTGATTTCTTCATAAGCAGCTGAGTGTATCAATTGCCACAAATGCTTACCTTTGTGAAACAGAGGTTTCAGACAACTACCTGCATTGTTATGTACGTACGATCTCATTCCTTTACTTTCTTAAGAGAAATCTTTTCTGGTCAAATGTATTCTTGAATGTTGAATATGGTGTTCATCCTTATCAGGAAAGAAAGAAGGAAGGAAAAAGGAGGGAGGAAGAAAGGAAGGAAGGACGGACAGACAAGAGGAAAGCCATCTCTGATAATGCTCTTTATACATCAGGCATTGTGCTACGGCTGTTCACATGTATTATTTCACATGTTAAAATTCATTAAAGGGGGAGGGTATAGCTCAGTGGTAGAGTGCATGCTTAGCATACACAAGGTCCTGGGTTTAATCCCCAGTACCTCCTCTAAAAATAAGTAAGTAAGTAAACCTAATTACCTCCCCCTAAAAAACAAACAAAAAATTAATTAACATTTAATTTTTGGTAGAAATTGAACAACTGAAGGGAATCAATTGCTTGGGTAAAGTCTCTTAAAAGCCTTAAAAAGTGGGTGCTAAAGCAGTGGAATATTTAATAGGGAAGCTAAACAAACTTAATAACAAAGTAAAAAGAAATGAGATCATACATATCAGGAAAATCAGAAAATTCTTCTCTTTTTTGGTTGGGGAAAGATAATTAGATTTATTTATTTATCCTTAGAGGAAGCACTGGGGATTGAACCCAGGACCTCAAGGACGCTAAGCATGTGCTCTACCACTTGAGCTACACACTCCCTCCCCAGAAAACTTTTATCACTGTGCTCTGCTCTTGCAGTTTAATAGCTTTCTCCAAAAAGGTAGAAATCACTTTTATTTTAACAATTTAGTAGAAGACAGTTCAGACATAAGCTGAATGGGCAAGAAATTCATCATGTTCCAAATCTTAATTTCTGTGTTTGAACTTCTTGTGGAAACAACAGCAATGGAGACACGGCCAGACATACTCTTTCATTCTGTTGCAATTTTTGTATCTCTACGTGCTTACATTAAGAGGTTTAAAAAAATAGAAAAAAATGACATTTGAAGAATACAGCTTTGACATACTGGTTTTTGCATTTAGCTTTCCACAGATAAGCCATCTGAAAGATATGACCACTGAAAGGTTTAAACTGAGGACAGCTGCCCCATCCAAGTAACATGCCAAATACACCCCGGAGGATGGTGTTGCTTAAGTGGAATTGATTCAAAAGTTTAATCCTCTTTCAAATAACCTCGACATGAAAAAATACTTGAAGCACAGTGAAAATAATAGAACACATGAACGAAACTGTTTTCAAATAATAACCTCCTGGTCCCACAAGGCCATAGACCCCAGTCAGCAAAATCTGATTATGAGTTCCAGACTCATTGAAGAATGTATTGTCCAGTAGGTATCTATTCTTCCAGTGTACACAGAGAGAACCAATTATATACGTTTGATAATAAATTTGTCTCTTCTTTTTCTTCTTCCTCCTTTTTCCTTCCTTTCCCCCTCTTCTCCCTGCCCCTAACCCCTCCCACTTCCTCCTTCTAGTTTCAGGCCCTGGGGTACATTAAGTCCTTAATAAATGATGGTGGTGCAACTTGAATCAAGGCAAGAATAAAGTAAAAAATAATTACATAAACTCATTAAGTTAGAAGTCTGTGACGTTGCAAATACAGGTTAAGATAAATAAGAAAGCTCCTAAGTAATATTTCCGCATAAATTATCTTCCTTACGTCTTCTCTGTCTTTCTAGAGTTTTTTTGATGAAAGTATATATAGAACAGAATATTTTGGCAATTAACTGACAAAATTCCACGTGTTTTTGTTTTTTCTGAAGAAAATAGTGAATTGTTCTGAATACGGAAATGGATCTTGCCCAGAAGGTGAAAGGTCGCTGGCTGTCCGAGCCGCCATGTATTCATTCATGACCGGAGCCATATTCCTCACAGTGTTTGGCAATCTGGCCATGGTAATTTCCATTTCTTACTTCAGGCAGCTTCACACACCAACCAACTTCCTCGTCCTCTCCATGGCGGTCACTGATTTCCTCCTGGGATTCACCATCATGCCGTACAGTATGATCAGATCGGTGGAGAACTGCTGGTATTTTGGGCTTATGTTTTGCAAGATCCATTATAGTTTTGACCTGATGCTTAGCATAACGTCAATTTTCCATCTCTGTTCAGTAGCCGTTGATAGATTTTATGCTATCTGTTACCCTTTGCGGTATTCCACCACCATGACGATTCCAGTCATTAAACAGTTGCTACTGCTCTGCTGGTCGGTCCCCGGCATATTTGCATTCGGGGTGGTCTTCTTGGAGGCCTACGCTGATGGTATAGAAGGCTACGCTACCTTGGTTGCTTGCTCCAGTTCCTGCCCCGTCATGTTCAACAAGCTCTGGGGGACCACCTTGTTTATGGCAGGTTTCTTCACTCCTGGGTCTGTGATGGTCGGGATTTATGGGAAAATTTTTGCAGTATCCAGAAAACATGCTCGTGCCATCAATAACTTGCCAGAGAATCAAAATAATCAAATGAGGAAAGACAAGAAAGCAGCCAAAACTTTAGGAATAGTGATGGGTGTTTTTTTATTATGTTGGTTTCCCTGTTTTTTCACCATTTTATTGGATCCCTTTTTGGACTTCTCTACTCCTGTCGTTTGGTTTGATGCTTTGACATGGCTTGGCTATTTTAACTCCACATGTAATCCCTTAATATATGGTTTCTTCTATCCCTGGTTTCGCAGAGCCCTTAAGTCCATTTTGCTAGGGAAAATTTTCAGCTCACATTTCCATAATACAAATTTGTTCACTCAAAAAGAAACTGAGTAGACTTATTCTGTTTGAATGAATAGAAGCAAAAGGACTGGAAATTAGAAGAAGGACGTTGCTTAAAGTGTGTGTGTGTGCATGTGTGCGCAGGTGTGATTTTGACTACCATGGAAAATTTTTAGTTTCTAAGACCTGAAGGAAAAAGGAAACTTTCTTTTTTTATTGAAATATAGTCAGTTTACAATATTGTGCCAATTTCTGGCATGCAGCATGATGTGTCAGTCATACATATACTTACATAGGTTCTTACAATAACCTATAATGAAAGAGAATATGAAAAGGAATATATGTATGTATAAGGAATCTTTGCTTTGAACCAAACATTCCTTCCTTTTCAGAATAATTCCTATGTCCACTACTTCTAGATAGAGAAGAAGAAAGAAAGTTAGAAAGGTAAAGAGAAGGCGGGGAAAAGCCAGGGACGCGATGTAGAGGACACACAAAACCTTTTATACTATTTGGAAGAGATCCAAACACAAGCTGAACATGAGGGTTGCGCCCACCCCCCCATCACCTCCATACACGCTTTGTGAGATATTTCCATTTACTTTTTCTCTCTCAGAGTCTGATCAGATGTATTTTGAAACATCGACCACTGAAAATTACAGGTAAAGAAATACAGCAGTAACAATTTCAAGAAGGTATATGCTGTCAGGAATCTGTCACTTGGTAACTGAGAGTTAAGGCTTTACTAGATTTTACTGTTGTGAGATTAAACATTTTTTAAATGAAAGAGGGAAAGGAAACTAACCAGATTCCACTTACATTATGGCTCATGTATCACTCGAATCATCACAGTTGGCAGTTTTCTATTTTACTTGCAAGAGAATTCTGGTCAGTGCTCTCCCTTCTTTCTCAGGCTCATTCACACTTTGTATTGCTAAGTGGTGTTCTGAGTTTTAATAAATGTAAAATACATACCCAAAAAGTTGTGTTTTTTGACTCTATCACTCCTTTTTGCTTGATTATGTATACATATACTTTTGAATAATAGAGCAGTGGGAGGAGCAAAAAAAGAAGAAAACTAATATTTATGGGTGCGTCTCTGGGTACAGAAAACTTTATATTTGTTATTCAATGACTTTTTAACTGTAAGTTAACATCCATTAACAACTTGGGAAATTGACTTAGAGGTCATCAACCAGTGGTGTGCCTATTAAAAGTATAACACCTGGTTCTGAAAAGAAAAAAGAAAAAACCCTGATTGTAGAATTTGATGATTTCCATTCTCTCTCTCTCTCTACATATATATATATATGTATATATGTGTGTGTGTGTGTATACATATATATATATATTTTTTTTTCATTAGCTGATTTAAAGCTAAGAATGTAATAGCAACTGGCTTTCAAAATTCCTCAGAAGTTAACCTATTCTTGCAAGTGAACATTAGGTGTTCTAGTTTACCACTGGCTGCAAATAACATTGTTAATGAAAAGCAAACTAGAATAGATGAAAATAGATAATCACATTGAGGATAAATACTGCCCAGTGATGATTTAATTTTAGTTGTATATGTGTATGTTTGTGGATGTGTTTTTGTAAGTGTACTATGTTTCACTGAAATGTTTTTTGTTTCGCTTCTCCATTATATTACATCAATGAACAAATTAACAATTTTTTTCCTTTTTGTGGAAAAGTTTGTATAATTCTCCCACAATCTTAGTTCACTGCACAGATCACAATTAAACAGTGACCACTCAGCAGTCACCTTAAGTGTTAGTCTTGCCTGGCTACCCAAAGATGGGTTGGCCAGTGTTATCCGGACCTTCTTTGGCTCTCCTATACTCACTGGCCTGCTGATAGGTTGGTCCCACTCTGTAGCCTATAGGGTAGAGGTGGAAAAGTGCAGCTGCTTTGAAATGGTGTTCTCTTTACAGAATGATGATGTTTGTGATGGTGGTTATTGTTTATGCTGGTGCTTACAGATGAAATAAAAATTTGGCAGCCCTACGTGGGCCAAACATTTCTTGAGATATTTCTTCTCTCTTCTTACTATGTACTTTATCCTATTCATATATTAAAACACTATTTGAATAACTGAAAATTCTGCTCAGTTATTCCTCTTTCCCTGAAATGTAATTTCCCCTGTACTTTTCATGGTACTTTCAGTTTCAGAATGTGGTCATCCTGACTTGCTTCCTAGGGAAAGAGAGTGATCCAGCCTTCTATTTCCTGTCTGCCTTCCACCATTCATTCCACCTTCATTTTCCAGAGTTAGTAATGCCTCCCTTTATGCTCAGACTTATACAGGCAGTTCCAGATGAGAAAACTGAGCTCAGAGAGATTAAGTGATTTGCCCTGGATTATACAATGTATTATAGAAGCAGGATTAGAGCTCAGCTTTCTGGACTTCTTATTCTGTGTTCTTTGTTGACCACACTAGTATTTTTTTTTTCAAGATTTGTGACACTTGCATGGGCTTTTCTTCTTCTTTTTTTTCCACTAATGATTTTGTCAAACTGGTACAAATCATTGAAGCAAAAATAAATACTTTTCTCCCATCCCAATATCTTCTCATTTCATCAGAAATCTTTTATGATTCAGACAATCATTCCTCCTTTGGATATCAGCCAACATTTAATTTAGCCACACATGTCTGTATTTTTAATATGCAGAAGTTTCAGTACCTTATCTTACTTGAATGAAGCCCAAAATTACCATGAGATTGATATGAAATTGTTATCTTTCTTTTGGAGGAAAAAAAGGAACTGAAAACTACCTGAGACATTAAAAATAGTCAGAATATTTCAATATCCCCCCAGGAAAGAGAGTTAAAAGGGCAGTTCCACTGGGGCCGTGCAGTTAGTTTCTCTTGGAACTCCTGGATCTGAGTTCTCCATCCAGCTCTCCTGAGAGCAGAGGCAAACTTATATGAGTCAGATATTTCAGTCTTTGACATCACACTTTCTAGAATTCTGACCTCACTACTGCAGAGCCACCAGAAGAGATTCAATGATTCACAGCTAACACTTCAAGAGAGGGAAGGTATTGAGTCAATAAAAAGAATTGGAAATGTACTATCTTTAAAAATTTTTTTGATTTATTCTTTTCAAAATATTTGAACAGTAATAACTAAATTTTATAATGAACTAGAAATTGTTATAAATAGGATGCAATAGAGAAGATAGGGTTTTTTTTTTCCTAACTGAAAAATAATCACTGTGATATTTAAGAGGAAAATTTCCCATCAAAATTTGTTGGCAAGGTTTGTAAATCTTTATGTACTGGCATTTAAAAAATGTGCTTGCAAAGTCTAGAACTATGCAAGACATGGTTTAGTAAATGTAAGTTACTTATGTATTTCAATAATGCTAAAATGTACTCTCCTCTTTGATAGTATATCTAAATAAAAATTCTTGTTATATACTACTTAATTTACTGCCAGACACTACATATTTCATTTTTGATTTTTTTTCTCTTGCAAGCAGTATTTACTTAAGATATTCTGTTTCTCATGGCTCCTCAATATTATTCACTCATTGCAGATACAAAGAGTGTCCAAACTAAAATGCACTTTCTCTATTGCCTAGAATTGTTCTCCTGGAATTCAACAGTCATGCAAATAACGTAAGTATCTTGCTAAGATGTGCATTTGGGGATGGTTCTGAGGTTTTTCATTTCCAAAAATGTTCCCAGGAGAGGATAATGTTGCTGGTCTATGGACCATACTTTAATTAGTAAGGACTGTATGGGAGAAACTATGAACACATGAAGCCATAGACTTTTTCATTGCCTAAATAGATCAGAAAGGAATTGTTGCTATTGTTATTATTATTATTATTATTTCCCATTATTAGATGATAAGAGTTGGTGGGAAGTTTACGACAACAGGAGCCCAAAGACCTGGATTATGTTGGTAACAGCATTTAGTATCAATGGCTCCCTCAAGACCTTTGTTATTTTATATACATGGAAGAGTTGGGAGGATGTAGTGGCAATGTGCCTTCCAAGTAATTTGGAAACTTTGAAACACCCAGAATTGTTATTGTTGACTAGGTTTCATTTGGAATGCTGCGGATTTTAGAAGAGGTTTTATTAGCTACTTTCTAAACAGGACTTAACTGTTTTCTTAATATTTTAATCTTTCCCAAACCAAATGTCTCTAGTATCATGAGACAAGATGCCTATTAAGTAAGTTTCATAATGTGTTGGAATTAATTTTTTTTCACTTAATTCAACAAGCTGTTATTGCTTACCTGTCATGTACACAGCTCTGCATTGTGTTGCCAGGGTTGGATGGTTAATGGCATTTTATCTCATTAAATGTAAATTTCTCAAGAAATTTAGCTGTAAATTAAGAAAAGGTATTTTAAAAAAGTGTTGTGCTGGAAGGAGGGAAAAAAGGTGTTTGAAATAAAAGTCAGCTGTAAAATGAGGAAGTGGATCAACCTATTTCTAAGATCTTTGGCCACCTCAATAGTCTATAATTAACTTCAATTGGGATCGCAGCATTTTTGACTCATTTATTTGAGCTGAGTATTTACGTTGTCAGAGACTAAGGGACTGGCAGGCAGGTGAAGGAAAGGGGATGGGTCAAGCCACAGAGTAGGCATTTGCAGGGTAACATAGAGACTTCTGTGGACAAAGGTGGCTGGAGTACCATAGACTGAAGGGAGGAAAGATTACAACCAGAGTTTCCATGACAACAGATGCTGAAAAGACACATTTATCGCGGGCAAGTCCTTGCTCTGATGTTCTAGCCAAGACACGTTTTCCTAGAGCCTTTCCCTTGTAACTACCAAAAAGAAGAAAAAGGGGGTGGAGGATGTGTGGTCTTGATAAAAGATTTATTAAATCAGTTCCTCCTGAGCCTCCTACTTCTCTGATAGTTTTAGTAAAGATTTTTCTCTCTGGTTTATTTTCAAGTAATGCTGTAGTTTATAGCTAATTAAAACAAAGGTGATTTTGCCATGGTTTTAATGTTCACTCTCCTTTCCGACCCTGCCCTCCAGCATGGAATTTGCTCTGCCTGTTCTGTGGGTGAATTTCCTGTCAATTAACATGTTTTCCCTGCTCCCAGCTGCTTTTAAGAATACAGTGTTTTCAAGATACCATCTCTGCCCTTTGCCAACTATCTTGTAGTTTTGCAAAGCTTACTTATGAACTATGATTCCATTGCTTGGAATAAATCAGTTGTGTACATGCCAGAAACTATTTTTGATGTCATTAATGTATGAACTACTATAGATAGTTATA